GAGAGAGAGAGAGAAAAGCGTCGTGATAATTATAGTTCTCATTAAATCTGTTTTTACCATAATTAAAAGTAATTATTTGTTGCTCATTAATCTAGTATGTGTGTAAATAAAATTCCATTGTAGGGTTTGATTTTTTGTTATTGTGTCACAATAAGGCCTGAATTTTTAACTTTTTCATTTGAAGGTTTCTATTTTAAGTTATTCTCAATATAAGACCAATTTTTTCATTCTACTTCTCAATTTAAATCAAGTTGTATTTTGATAAATTATGTAAACAACAATACATTTCTTAATATATATATATATATATTTTATAAGTACTTATAATGAAAAATATTAATATCTTTAATAAAAATATCTAATAGGATAATTATTTCATAAGTTACATTTATGCAAAAGTTTTATAAAATTTATTTTAAATGTTAAGAAAATTATTTAATTGAATCTAAATATGTGATAACATTATAATATAAATTATTCAGAAAAATAATTTTATATAAAAAAAACTTTTGAAAATATTATTTGTGAATAAAATTTATATTTTTGAAAAAAATTAAGAATATATAAAATTAATACCCAAAAATTTTATTGTAGATAGCTTTATTCACAAATAATATTTTCTATAAGTTTATTTACAAAAAATAAAACTACTTTATAAATATTTTATATTTTAATGTTATCACATATTTAAATCAAATTAAGTTAATTATGAAATAATTATCTTATTAGATAATTTTACTAAAGATATTTATCATTTTTCATTATAAGTACTTAAAAAATAATTTTTTAAAAAAAAAGTATTACCGTTACATATAATCATATCAAAATACAAAGTGATTTGGAATCTTAAATTGACAAGTAGAATGTAAAAGTAGGCATTACATTGAGAATAACTTAAATTTGAAACCTTCAAATGAAAAAATTAAAAATTCTCAGGCATTATTGTGACACAATAACAAAAACTCAAGCCGTACCATGAAATTCTCCCAATAAATATGATAGTTTTAGTTAATTTGTAAATAAATATATATACCAGTTGTAAATATGTAATAAAAATGTTAATGTAGTGGATAATGTATTATTTCTTATTTTTTTCCCAATAGTCCGTGAACCCGTCCACATTCGAAACACATTCTGAATCGAATACCTTATTTATCATTCATAAAGAAACCCATAACCATAAGCCTCCACCAATCGAAAGAAAATTTGTTTAAGGTAATGGGTTCAGTTGAGAAGAGTGAGGAAGAATGGCGGGCCGTCCTTACTCCCGAGCAATTTCATATACTCCGCCAGAAAGGCACAGAGTGCGTGCTCGATTCTTTTCTCTTTTTTTTTTTTT